TTTCACAGTATTTTCTTCTAAATACACGGAAGAGAAGGGGAATTGAGAGGAAAAACTTGAGATCTTAATAGGGGCAAGAGAGGTATGGATAAGTTTAGGAGTACGACAGTATATAGAATTGTGGCTTTCTGCCTTACTTCTCTGTCTTTTTAAAAGGTGATTGGACCACTTCTGTGGTCGTGTGGGTATGTAACGTGGTGTACTACAGAAAGAAGTGCAAAGAACAACAGTTAATCACTGTATTACATTTTTTGCTGTTTCTGATAATAAGATCTGCAGGCACATGTAATGTGTGAAACTAAATCGTCTGCGCTACTGAAATCTGTGAGCAAAAATAGCCAGTTGTAGCAGAATTGTAGGCCTTACCTGTTGTTAATTGTTCAGCATTAGCAGTAAGGGGTTTTCCTGTTGTCGCTGCATTCCTTTAAGACCCAAAAGTAGATATTAAAAAATCATTTGCGATTGCATAGTTGATGCAGCTCTGTCCGTTGTCTGCGTTGAGGGTTTGGCAGAGTGTCCTTAAGTAACGGTTGGAGCTTCAGCGTGTTTATCGCTACTGTGTCATCATCATCCGCTGCTTTTAGTGGAAGTTTAAGGTATTCCTAGTACTATGTGCATAGAAGATGCCATCCCATAACTTTGGTAATTTTTATAGGTCTGTTAGCTACTGGTAAAATACTCCTTTTAGTGATAATTTGCTTTCCTTGCAGAAATTTTAATTTAGATTAAAATTGTAGTCTTACTTTGTATTGAATTTGTATTAAATTGCTTATTAAGAAGGAAGAAAAGCCTAGCATATTCTTCTGGTAATCTCGTATTTATATGATTTAAGATAATTATTTTTATCCATTTACATTAAAAAAGAAGGATTATCTGAGTGTAAAGGCTGTGGTCAGGAAATTGTGGAGTATTGCATTAATTCTGAAATTGCTATATTAAATTAGCCAGTTACGGTCTAGAGCTGTGCCTTACTTTGTAACAGCAAGTACCTATTAGCTGCCTTAAGAGTTTCACATGGCTGTGACAATAATTTAGGAGCGATAGAGCTTGGCGTTACGGTTCTGAGGTTGCTTTGTAATTCTTACAGTGGTGGAAGAATTTTATTCTGGAGCTAAAACTTGCAGCTACATTGAAGTATGATTGTACAATTGGAATTGGTTAGTTAAATCTCTGACTATTTTCCTCATTGATAATGTTTGACTTGTTTTTTTATAATACTGGCTGGTCTGTGGAACTAACTTACTCTGTTACGGCACCATCAAGAAATTACATTGGGGAATTCTTGTAGCTCTGCAAAAAGAATGTTACGTTGGTCATTGTTGTCCCCAAGAATTAGTACTGTAGATTTTAAAGACAGTTTGGGAGAAGCAGGCTTGAGCAGGTAATACAGGGAGAAGGCGTTGAAAGGGTGATTGTGACAGTAGGTGATACAAGTTCTTTGGTTCTTTTGTATTCTCAGTTAAGTTGAAACCTCCTTGGGGTGGATCGGTGGCTTTTTCTTGAAATTGCCATCGTTGCAGACTGCTTGCTGTTTCCTTCACTTGAGGATTTCAGGAGTATAAAAGAAGGAATAATCTCTGCTCAGTTCCTTCCTTGGCAGTGAAGATGCAGTAAGCATACATTGTGTTTTCCACATACTACTACTTTATCTTGTTACTCTGTTTTGTATTTTTCCATATCAAAAAGCCCCAAAGACAAAATTGTACCCGCCTGGCATGCGTGTCTTGGCCCGCACAGAGTAGGCATTCTGCATCACCCACTGCAGTGAAGGCATTCAACACAGTCATAAAAAAGGAGGCAAAGCAATGCAGCACCAAAATGGACTTTTCACATCATCTCACCTCGGTGGCTTTCTGCCTGGCTTGAAGGACAGCTGGAGCATCGTGCAGACCGAGCGTGGTGCCTGGCGCAGGAGCGGCCGCCTGATCCGGTGGGTCAGCCCAGTGCAGCGTGGCCCCCGGCACTGCCAGAATGCTGGCATCTCCCGTCTCCATGGCCACTTGGTTTGGTACCGGGCATCCAGCGCTGTCAGTTCTGCGGAGCCACAAGTGTTGCAGTAAGCATAGTAACTGGCATTAAGATGCTTTGATCTGTTCAGTTTTTAGGGTCTTTTACCATGAACTGTAGTGCCTGTTATTGATAGGGCTTCATCTTTTAACATAAATTGATGTCTTGTCTATTGCAAAGTTTAGTTTACTTCTGGGTTAGTGCGATAGTGCAAGTTGCATTAGGTCCTGGCCCTTCCTGGGTCCCTTGGTTCTGCCGTAGAGGTATCTCGGTGATTTCGGGCACTTAAGCCATTTATTCTTAGCTTTGCTTAGTTTATTATTCGCCTTGCTTGACTATGTTGGCTCTTAACTCTGTTGTGGTATATTCATTGCAGTAGGGCTGTCAAATATGTTGTACCACGAAGTCCTTGAAGTGTCGTACCGTATTTTGGATTCAGATGCACAGACTTAAGCAAATTCTTGCGGTAGGATAGGGGTCAACTTTTTATGAGATCCAGAAGAGCAAAATCAAGGTTGGTACTACAGCAGTAAAAGTACCATGTTTTTGAGACTTGCTCTTTAAAGCATTTGTACTTCCCCATTCATCTCTGCACCACCCAGTTCCAGGTAGTTCTGACTTGAGCTCTTACTCTGCATTCACCTCCCGCAACTCCTAGAACTCTTCATTTTCTGTGTGCTGCTGTCACTTATTTCCAATTCTTGGATATGAGAGGGCAGGGAAGTACGAGATTTGTCTTGTGCGACAGAGATTTTTTTAAGCTGGAGATTTTTCACCTGTGAAAGCCTTGCTCACTGTGTACTCCTGTAGCTGCTTCCATGGAGTCACTTCATCTGTGCTGAGAACTTGTGTAAAAGTCTTTTGGGTTGCAGCAAATGGCAAAATAATTCAGAATCCCTACACTTTAATGCTTAGGAGCAATGCAAATAACGTGGAGGAATGCTAATTTATCCTTCTCGTATTTTATGGAAGCACTCTGTCAAAGAAATGTTACTGTCTCTCTCTTTCTCTGAAAGGAAGTTTGTGTAGCTGTACCTTATGGAAGAGATTGAGTGTCCTCAAGACAGATGTGATACCAGAAATGGAGATCTTGGTAGAATTGAGTTTAGTGAGAAGCTCAACATTTACTCTCTATGTGTGAAAATTCTTTGATGTAATTGGAATTGCATTGTTAATGAATGCGAGAATCTCAGCAGTAAAACTCCGAGTAAAACTGGCATGGCTGTGTGGCAAGGTTTGAGGGAGGAACTGGTGTAATTTTAAAAGATTGAGGACGGTAGGCAAGTCTGTCAAAAGAGAAACCGGGAAACAGAAGCCCCTAAGCATTAAGGGGAATTAGAAGAGCCAAAGCAACAAAGCAGTTGTCAAAAACAAAAGAAAGAAAATCAAGCTGAAGATGTGACAGTGAAGGATAACAGTGAGGAGCTTACAAAGAGTTGGTGGGTCTGGTCCATCAGAAGCTTTAAAGGATCAGTTTTCTGTTAGAGGGATATTGCAGATAGCTGCATAGGACCAGCTTTTCACTGGCAGCAGAAATGAAGCAGCACAGAAGGGACAGTGCGAAGATGAGATTTCCAGAATAACCTGACAGTTTTGAAATAAAATGTCAACCAATATGGATCCTGACACTGGAATGGTGAATAGAGGTGTCAGCACAGAAGTCTGTTGAGCACTGTCGTTCCTTCAGTAAGTACCATGGCAAGGGAGATGCTGAAATCAGCTGGCCTTTCTTGTGCTTAGCTGTTGCCTGTTCCAACGGGTGGTTCTGCACTGTGCATGCAAATCTGAGGGCTGATTACGTTTTCTACCAGGCCTTTCGACGAGACTTTTTTAATGATATAGAGGGGTTCATACCCAGGCGCTGGAAGAGAAGATCAGCTTCGGCGCTTTTGTTCTTGTAAATTTAGTGCACTATGCAGCTTTTTCAAAACTTACCTGTAATTAAACATCATGTTTGATTAAATTTGCACGTGAAAATTTGTTTTGAAATGTCTGATAGATAGAAGACTGTGAAAGAATCTGGAAAATTGATACTCCCAATACAATTCTCAACTTCCTTCCCTCAACCTTCTTCCATGCAGCTCCACACATCCATAATCACCATTCTTGATAATTAAAGAGTATATACGGACAGGGATCGAGCAAAGGTGACTTCTTCGGGCATAGTTGCCAATATATGTTGGCAGCATGGTAAGGCATGTAGTCAGGAATAGCACGTGTGCGCTGTTGATGTCCGACTTGTATTTCTTCCTTCTACAGACGGTTAGCTGCAATTTGTTTAAGGCAAAGTTAACTTGCTTATTGGCAGAGTTCCTGCTTCTAGATGATAGGTTACCTGTAACGGGCTTCAGTTGCTCACTAACACGTGTTCCATTTTTTGTTACTATGGCCTGATGCTGCTGCCGGTATTGCAGGTGAGATCTTTGCTTTCGGTCAGTGAGCTAGTACCCTATGGAGATAGTCTCATAACACTGCAAAGATATTTCAGTGTTCAGTTTGCAGTGGGGAAACTGAAGAGTTAGGCAGTTCTTGTGCTTACCGCTGCTAGAAATAATGTTGAAGTCTGTGCCTCTGCATGCTGAAGGTAACTAGAAAGTACTTCCTGGTTAAATTCCACAGAATATATACAGGACTGTTCTAGGCCAGGCAGTAACCAAAGACTTAACGTAAAAAAACCTTTTAAGTTCTGACCAAGGATTACTGACTTGTTTGGTTTCACCTGCGTGTGTAATTCTTTTGATTATTGTAGGACTACTTATGGATGGAAACATTTTCAGGATTATAGGTCAAAAATGTATAAAAACAAAAGAATAAAGCAAAGTGAATTGTATGAAGTACTGCATGCTTTTTTCTTGAAGTTTTGGATAAATACTTTTCTGTGGTTTTCTTAGTGTGACACATTAATCCAGTAAGGCTAATCAACACAATAACGCTGTTCAACATAAATTCTGATTTTGCTTTTATTGCAGTTACTTGTGAATGAAATTAGCTGAATATGGATCCAGGTGGTGGAAGTCTTGGATTGCAAACACAAGAATCCAAAATGCCTCACACTATGATTATGCAGGATTTTGGTAAACATTTTAACTATTAAAAATAATGAATAAGATCAAGACTGTTTTTCAGGTTTTTGCTATATGTTTATAATTGCTGTCAAGATGTAGCATTGATTAACATAATAATGCTATTTGCATGACTTTTTTTGAGAAAATTCTGAATTTAGGGTGGTGTGTAATATGTCTTTGGATACTTTGGTTGCTGATCTTGGAAGTAGTCACTTATTCCAAAATGTTGAAGTAATTCTGAAAAAAAAAAAAAAAAGTTAAGTCTGTGGGCCAAAGTGCTTTAGATGAGACAGAAAATGTTATCTGGAGTTCAATGGTTTTGTGGTGTGTGTGCGTAGGAACCATTTTCTCGAGTGTTTTATTCATTGAGATTAAAACTGCTATTTATGTGTATGTTAAAATAATTGACTGTGCATTCTTTTTTATGTATAGTAAAGTAGTCTGCAAATATGACTGCCAGTCAAGAGCGTTAATAAAAAACAGGTTTCTGTTTCTAGCCATTCCTTGCAATGTGGCAAGTTGTTGGAAATTGTATTATAAATACTGCATAAAAATGAGTATTTATTTTTATCAAGGCCTATGCAGTCTAGAGGATAAGAGTCCTTTTATTGTAACAGCAATTAATCTATTGTTACCACACTTCCACTGTCATGCAAGAATTCTGTGAAGGTTCAAATTGCTACTGTAATCAAATGTTTTCTAACTGAAATTTAAAGATGAAATTGCAAACTGGCCTGTAGTTCTTAACATATCAGCATTGTAAAACCTAAATTTGGGGCAAACTCCACATTATGTATTAAAGAAGCGGCATGTTTTGGTTTTCTTAATTTAAAGAATACAGACTGCTTTGGATAGTCTGTCGGGTGAAATGCAGAATGTGGGTTGTTGAAAAGTAACAGATTTGTCCATCTGTGTTTAACTTACCTGTCCAATTACTCCATTGCTTAGATAAACTAATTGCTAATGGAATAATTTTAACACTTTTCTCCTCGTTCATAATTGTTTCATAGTGGCTGGAATGGCTGGCACTGCTCATATTGATGGAGACCATATTGTTGTATCAGTCCCCGAAGCTGTCCTAGTTTCTGATGTTGTTACCGATGATGGAATAACTCTTGATCATGGCTTAGCAGCTGAAGTTGTCCAAGGACCTGACATCATCACTGAAACTGATGTTGTAACAGAAGGTGTAATTGTTCCCGATTCTGTTTTGGAAGCTGATGTTGCTATCGAAGAAGCTTTAGATACCAGTGATCATGTTTTGACTTCTGATCTAATAACAGAAACCGTTAGAGTTCCCGATCAGGTTTTTGTGGCTGACCTTGTTACGGGTCCTGATGGACATTTGGAGCACGTGGTGCAAGACTCTGTGTCAGGAGCCAACTCGCCTACAATGGTTTCAGAAGAAGTTCTTGTAACAAACTCCGATTCTGAAGCAGTCATTCAAGCAGCTGGTACTGTTCCGGGCTCCACAGTGACTATAAAAACAGAAGATGATGATGATGGCAAGAGTACATCTGAAGACTACTTAATGATATCTTGTAAGTTAAACAAAGGTAGATATGAACAGGAAATTATCTGAAGTAGAAGTGGTCTAGTGGGGATAGCTGGACTCTTGCTGCATTCTGTACTGGAACACAAATCTCAAATAATAGTCTGTTGCCCAGTTAATTCGTGGTGTCTGGATTTGGGTTTTCTTGATGAAAAATCCATTATCACCGATACAGCAAGAAAGAGAATGACGTTCATGCTGTTGAGTGAGTGAGTGTGTATGTTTGTGTTTCTGAAACTAGATATTCCTGAAAATCAAGAAATAACACATTGAAAAGTTAAACATTCCACATATTTTGAGTATAGTACTTTTTTTTTTTAAATACACAGATATATTACCATGTTATGTAGATTCATGTAAAAATAACATGTTGGGTTTAATCAGTAGAATCCAGCAAAGAAATAGATTCTTAAGATATCTCACTCATGAAGTTTGCTCTTATGTGTCAACAAAATATTGTTTGTTTAGCTGTATTAAAAATTATAATAGGCATTTTATGGTATGTTGTGCTGTTCTGGACTGAACTTGACATTAAGTGGTTGTGTGCATTAATTGATTGGCTCTCTTAACACTGGAAGGTGGCTGCCCATTTCAGTTTCCACACAACATTCAACTCTGAGGAGAATGTATGGTCCCATACTACTTGTTGAGTGAGAGCTACTGAAGGGACCTTAGGTATATTACGTTTCTTCAGTGGTTAAATTATATTCAAGATACCAGTTTTTGTTGTTATGCAAATTTGATAAAATGTCTGATAGTTCATTTTAGATTTTTTACTTCTCCAAATTAGTTACTGAAATGTGAGTAGGTCAAAACAGATTTTATTTAGTCAGAAGCAATATGTTAAAAAAATGGCAATGCCAAGTGTGTCAAAGTGTCAGTCTGTTCACAGCAAGCTGCATTAAAAATTTCAAGACGGAGGACATGACTGATTAGCGATTATAATGATTTCAATATTTCATAGCATTTCTGTCCCTTACGCAAAATATATTCTTGGTATTTATTTTTTGTTCAGTGTAGGATGAACAGCAATTCTGCCGTTACTGTAATGCCGTATGTCATTGACTAATAGAAGTCCAAAAGGGTTTTTGGAAAAAGAATCAAAAAAACTTCAGTCCAAAAGCAAGTTAGACCTACAACAGAAAAATTCCTGTGTGTTTGTAAATAAAGGAACACCATTTTTACAGTCAGTTGTTTCACTGAAAAAATTCCTCCTTTCTGACAGAGTACTTACGATGAGTTGTATTCTGTAACTGCGGTAGTTCCAACTGCACCTTTGTAATTGTAAGTAAAGTCATCTTTGGAATTCCTTCTGAGATAGATAAGTGTGATTGATAATGGTGATCACTGCACTTAGACCAGCACATCTTAAACTTTCAGTAAGAGTTACCTGATGACCCCAGCTGTGTCTGATACATTTATAGTTTTGTTGGGTGTTCTCAAGCCTCCCGATGGCTTTTACAATGTTACAAAGCCAGTTTGAGACTTAGGTTTAAACAAATTAGATTTTTATATATA